GCTCTAATGTTTTGCATGCCATACTTAGCGGTTAGACCATTGACCACACGTCCTCGAGAGGATGGAGCTTTGTTGCCACAGGAGGACCGATCACCGATGGCCAATCTTTCCTTTCTACCTTCTTTGCCAAAGGTGTCTCAAAAATGCTTCCCCTGCAGCATCGTACGTAGTCTTATCTCTCCTATCGATACGACTTCCCGGCTTGTCAACCCACTTCCAATGCCTGCCCAAGTACAGCTACCGCCTTTTCCCGGCCATTTCATGCCTCAAACACCTCCCTGTAAAATAACCCCTTCTGATATGGCCAGCTCAGCCATGTACACGTACGTCCTTCCCTCTATTTCTTGCACGACGGACATTCCGCAACTACATGAAGCCGGTCTTCGCACGCGGAGCCGCAATGATATATATTTCAATTTGCTTGTCGTCTTCATCGTCTACCTTCCTAAATCTTCGTCTATTTTCTCGAAGGCCAATATCCCTGGTCCTGAACTTGACCTTCAGCTTTGTCCTTCACCATACATATCCATGCAGTAGGTACTCCTTGAACCTTTCTTTCAACATGCACATCTAGACTAGTCTAGACCCTCCTTATCCTTGGTTTCTTTGGATAGATTATAATGTTCTCTCTCGGCAAGAGCAACACAGCAGTGGGGGGCCTGCGGGCATCCGTGCGTGCTGTTCGTCTCGCTAGCTATGATCATATGTACAACAGTGGTGGGGGACAGCTGGTACGGCAGTGGGGGCTACGGTTTAACTGGGCTACAGGGTGGGGGGGGGGGCGACAGAATCGGTTTAAGAGAATCGGGGTTCGATTCAAGATAGGGGTGTGTCTAGCTATTTTGACCTCTCTTGAACCGGCAATTCTCTTAAAGTGAGCTCTCTAACCGTAGCCCCCACTACAGCTGTAGCTCGAAGGTAAACCGTCTCCGAATCCTGTTAGTATGAAAAGCTTTCAGGCGAACAAAGGCTCGTTAAGGCTCGTTCGTCGTCAAAATCCCCCGGCAAAACGCTTCGTGCGCCAAGTGGTTGGCGATAGCAACGATGAGTCGATTGGTGCCTTTGCCAAGACCACCATTCGTTGAAAAAGCAGCAGTAAGGAGTAGATCTGCGTGTGTGTGTGCGGGGACATCTATGTACTAGTTTACACGTGGACTGCTGAAAATACGCAAACGTGGATATTTTCCCAGTGCTGAGGCCCATGTTTATGGTTTCCAAATCTTTTCTTCCTTTCTTTGGACTAATGTTGGCGTTTTCGACCTCGTGGGCAGTCTGCCTCCCAAACGAATGCGAATCAGCTGTTCGACCTTTGAGAACAGTCACAGCTTTGGCTGAGATGTCTACCGATCGCCTACGCCTGTACGTTTCTCGCCAGGGCCCAGGTTTGATTTTTTCAAGATGCGCAATTTGCACGCAAGATTTTTCCAACACCAGCTTTTGGACAGATCTGGGCCCAAAATTTGCTCCGAGTTGGCCTTCGGCCGAATCTTCAACATCTTGCTCTGCTGGAAAAAAATCAAATGTGGACCCTGGCGAAACACATAAGCGGTCTGTATGCATCTCAGGCTAAGCTGTGGCTATTCTCGAAAGGTCGAACAGCTGATTCGCACTCGTTCGGGAGGCAGACTGCCCAAAAGGTCGAAAAAGTCAACATTTGTCCAAAGAAAAGATTTGGAAACCATAAACATGGGCCAGTGTTCAATCTCGAAATAAAGGCATCAAGTCCTGTGGAAAAAAAGAAACTGATTTCAGCAGCAGCAGAAGCAGGCAGCCGTACATAGCGAGCGGCATCGCCAGCAAATGGTATCCACAATCAACAACTATTGCTCGCTCGTGTGGTAGGCGCACAACATAAAAAAGAGCGGGTACGCGCGCCCGTCTTCCTCTGTGAGCTACACCTTGACACCTGATCGTGGGAAAGGTTGTGGTCCAAAGAATAAACAAAGGCCTATACAAACAAAACAAGGAAAATAGCCGGCACAGCAAGTAACTTTAAGGGTCACGAAATCAAATCGCTCATCTGCTCAGCTTCTTTGTTTACCTCATCGGCTGCCGCACCGCCACCGCTCTCGACGCTGCTGCTGGTGGTTCTCGCCCCCGGGATATCCACGGGCTCCGACATGGTGGACGATACGCTGGAGTTGTTTCGTAGCAGCAGGGCGGCTCCCCCTTTGCTCTGCTGCTGCTGCTGCTGCTGTTCCTCGCAATGCGCCGTCGTGAGGCCGCATCCAAAGAATCGCTTGTTGTTTTCATACCGCTGAAACAAACAAACACACACGAAAAAAAGAACGGCCGAGATGATCCATCAACCGCCGTCGGCGGACGTCGGACCCCACAGATAAGATCGGACGGCGTGTAGCTACAGCAGTAGGGCAACGAGGACGGTGTGCTGGAACCCTGGCTTGAAGAGGAAGGCACAGCAGAAGCCCACCGGCTGGGCGCAAAGCTTATTGCCATGAGGGATGTGGGTACTGCTGTAAGCTGGAAGGGGTATTCAGTATTTTCTCGCGTCCCTCCTCCGCTTGCCCCTGGTGCGATGTGTGTCGTGTGTGTGCAAATGGATCTTCACGCTCTTACATTCATATTTCCAGTCAAAATATACTCCGCGCCCCAGTTTTCCGGCGGGCAACCTCCTGGTGCCAACGTACAGGCACGGCCGCCGGCAACGAAGGCCCTCTACACACACACACACAGAGGCGGCTGGGGGCAAGAAAAGACGCATAATAACCGGCACGATGCTGTCGTGCAAACTATCCCAACGCACACCCCACGGCGCAGCAGGTAGCAGGACCCAACAAAAAGGGGCCACCACACGACATGAAGGGTCAACCAGAAAACCAGCATGTCAAAAAAACGAAAGAGCCACCACTTACACAGGTGATCTGATCCTCCACGTCCCGCTCCTTCCGCTCCTCCGGCTGAAAGCACGGCGCTCGAGCGCGGACATAGCCCCTGGAGCCGACGCCCTGCCAGTCCTGCTCGCGGGCTGCCGGAGCAGCCTTCTCCATCATCAAGCGGGTGGAGGAGCAGAGATAGCCACCAGGACCAGCAAGAACGGTCGCCGCCGCAGGCTCCTTGGAGGCAGCAGCAGCAGCAGCAGCAACAAGGTCGTCGACTTCAGGCCCGCCGGGGGAAAGAGCAGATGGCGACACGGCGCGGGGGCGCTTGAAGTCCTCCTCGGCGGGGGCAGCAGCAGCAGCATCGGGTGGATCTTGGGCTCCGTCTCGGTATTCGGCTGGACGTCGTTCTTGGCAAAAGGCCGACGAGCGACGGGTTGCAGCGATTGCACTTCGTCTCGCCGCCGGAGTAGATGATGCCGAGAGCCGGCGGCCAAATTGCGGCATTGGCACAGCGGCAGTAGAGTATAGACAGAGGGAGGTGCCACGGCGGGATCTCACACACGCGTGTGCTCAAGCGTGTGTGCAGGGGTGCTGCACGAAAGGAGTGATTACCGTTGGCCCTAGCTGTGCAGCAGCGCGTCCTGGGTAAGTGAGAGGGGGGCTTGAGAGCGAGCGCTGGAATGGTACTGGAGTCATATTGAGCAAATAAAAAACAAATTGTATACCAATCGAAATCCTGGAATCACAGCCAATAAATGTTTTGTGGTACAGCTCACAAGCGTCTGAAACCCAAAAAAAAAAAATATGCACCAGGTTTTTGGCTCTCGTCCATCGGACACAACCGAGCCGAGCCCTGCATCTGTGAACCGTCATTGAGAGGAACCTTTCACGTTCACAGGGTTTCAACACGCCCCATCGGGGATGGTACCCGAAGGCCGAAAGGTGGTACATTACAGTTCTTGCGAAATGTGTTTCTTTTATTTCAACAATGACCCGCTGAACTTTCGAAATCCTGGGATCATATCGCGCAACGAATCTCCTGGAAATCTTAATCCCCCACAATGAGCGGTTGGTTCGTGATGCCACTGGGTCCACAATTTTCAAGGAAATTCTGTAGGTGGTGTTTGTTTGCTCTATCCGTATGCATATAAACGCCGAGCCACAGAGGACAAGAAAAGAGGGAGCGCGAGCCACGTGGAGAGACAATGTATCTTTCTCCCCCTGAATGTACACATGCGTATATATGTTGCTTTCCCACGTGTCTGTTGCGTCGTAAATGTTCATCGTGAAAACATTTTTGTCTTCCAGAGCTACATCATGTAATGCAGACTTGTACACTTGGTTGCATATAATAATCGTCTCGTCCGGTTGTTCATTGCTTGTTCGGGCACCATCATCGCCCACATGAAAATGTACCGGTTGTGTGTCGTCATCGAAAGCCACTGATAGAACTACCTTCATCCCCGTTGAGCTTTGGTGAGAGAGCGGACCGTCCAACCTGTGATTGTTGTGTAAAGAATGAATCGACCCGTTGGTAAACACGAATGAACCGTCCGTGACGTGAGTGGTGAGCTCATCATCAACATCATCGACGTGCTTCTCCGTGCTCCTCGTCGTACACGTACTTCAGTCTACAGAGTAGAGATATCTACTGCTGTTGCACATGATTCACTCAAAGAGTCGAGATTACCGACATAGTGCTGTAGTCTACAGCAGTTTACAGGGTGAGTTTCATCCATGATGATATGATACTCGGCGGCGAATCTGCGGCGGGCAACCGACCGTCCGTACCGTCCTCTCCCATGCACGCAAATAAACTCGACCACAACTCCAACAAGCTTGATTCCAACGCTCGTATTCTACATTCTGCAATCGTCCCGTAGCTGTGCACACGCCCGAACGGCCAGCTGCTGTAGACCTTTTTCACACGGTCGGGTTCGGCTGAGCGGGGGCATGTAGGCTACTATGGCACAATGGAAGTGCTTGTCCAAGATACAGAAAGAAAAGTTACCGAAACAAAAATCCTCTCTTTTCGTATCCCTTTGCGCTTGTCACTGGTCCTCCCCTCGTTCGTGATCATCATGGTCGGCGTGATGGCATTTAGCTTCACCTCGCTTCAACATAGTCTCATACGTACATTTAGCCTGATTGTCTTTTTGGCTATCCCCGTTGTTTGCCTCCGACATTTGTAGCTTCAATGTTGTAGCACAACGGCGTTGCCCAACGGCGTCTGCTTCTTCTGTTGCCGAGGAAATAAGGCTTGCCCACATTTCTCGATTTGTTATGCTGCTCGTTGTGGCGCGTGCCTGATGATCCACGAGTGGGTGCGTCCAACAAGCGGACAAAGAGGCGAAAATGGACTACATGTATTTCGATATCTAGACTACAGCAGCAGTAGCAGATAGTGGACACAGACGTATGGTTGAAAACTAAAAGACGAGCCCAAAATGCCCCCAAGTTTTTTTTCCACACAAACACCAAAAGAGACGCACTCCTGTATCTATACGACTACGACGAGGGGAAGAAATACATCAACGTACACGCCGGCTGTGTTGCCTTTCATGCAACGTCGCACACAAACCCCACCCATCACAAGAGCCTTCCCGCTGCATCCAAGCCGCTCTCTATATGGTGGGCTTTTGGTCCGTTGACCGCACTCAAATCAAGCAAGCGAGACTTGAGCACATACAGCAAAGTGAGAGAGAGGTCCTGAGAGAGAGGTCGGTGCTGCCTGACACCTTTCCAGACCATCAAGCTAACCTCGCCCATTTGTAGACACGGCTGACAACACGCTGGAGGCGGAGTTGCCCCATGGGGAAACTCGACAGAAGTGTCGTAGCCTCAGCTTCGTTCCACACGAGAGAGGTAAGTGTTCACAGGCCGAGAGCACGAGCAGGGGCGAAGGGAGAGGGAAACACAAACCACGTGTCATCAGCCACTCCTTGCTGACGCGTCTAGTAATGCCGTAGACCGTTCACCACGCGCTCGAGGAAAGCCGAGGCAAATTGCGAGGTTGATGATGCCTGTTCTGCTGGCACCGAGATGGCCTTCCTTACAGTTCAGTCGGCGGTATAGAATAGAAAACAGTTGGCCAGAGGCTAAGCGCAGGAGGGCCGGTTGCAGGAAAGGTGGTGGCGCCATGATATGAGAGGAACGAGGGGACGGGGGCCCTGTAACGAAATACATACAGTGCTAAGCAAGGCATCTGGTTTTCATCACGACCCGTTTTTCGTGCGCTGCGATGGGGGGGGCATGAACTTCGGCGATACATGTCATATACAGACGAAGGGGAGAAACAATAGCAAACAGAGAATCTACCTCATGCTTTAGTAGCCAAAACGTGTTGGCGTAACTTTCTTCTGCAACATGGGCCAACACAATCAGTTCGAGACGATGAAAAAAGCGCTAGACAGAGAGTCTACCTCACTCTCCCCATCAAGATTGCCTGAAGGTGTCCTAGATCACATAATGTCTGTAGCAAGAGTACTGAAAGAAGCTTCGTAGGCTTGTCGCATACCTCAACACATGGCGCACTCAAGAGACCGAACCACCTACCAAGCACCTCAAGCTTCGTCTGCGTCCACGCGTTCCGTCGAGCCTCTGCATCCCATCCCAGGCCATGTTTTGCCGGCATGTTCCTCTCCGGCACCGTAGTTGTGGGGCGGTTCGGTGTGCCAAGGTGTTGGCCGCCCGTGAGGTGTGTGAACAACAACGGCTCATCTGGAGATGAGCATCGGTTGCCAGTAGGTGACCCGTTCGGTGGGAGAGAGTCGGCACCACCATCACCACCATCGTCATGATCGAAGGATTGTTCCACCAGCTCAAGGTGGCTGAAAGCATTGCCGAGGCCAGCCACAACAGACTCGTAGGCATCGAGGAAAAGCCCTGCGCGCCCCGCTTGTGCCAGCGCGGTTGCTTCCCTGGACTGAGGCTGCGCCACCATCGCGCGGCGTCGTTGACGTCGGGTGAACGCTGATGCTGACGAACCCCCGTGGCTGCTGCCGCCGCTTGTGGTGTTACGCTGAAGCCCTTGCGTCCCGGTGACACTGCAAATGCCTCCCCCCCGGAGTCCCCTGGCCAGCAGTACCAAGGTGGTGTCGAAGGCTTGGCTGACAGCTAGCGCGAAGTCTATCCGGCGAGATATCGACGCAGCATCGTTGTCGCTCCAATTTTGTGGCTGCGACGGGCCCGTTTTTGCGTTAGCGTTGGCAGCGGCGACTACCGATGCTGTTTCGGCGACCTCCTCTACGATGGCGACCATGAGGTCTAGCACATGCCGGTATGTTTGGCCTGGGCAGGAAAACAGCAAAGACATGTTGGGGTACAGCAGTAGTGCAATCTCTCTCTAGAACCGCAAAGCAGCGCAAGTTGGAGTTCTAATCGCCCCCAACCCGCCGTACGTCAGCCTTTTTCTACGCACAAAAAGATTGGTCGCATCATATTCAGAGTAAGAAGTACCTGTCTCGATATCAGGCACCGTAAAACGAACATGTATCGCTGTTCGGAGGTACATATATGCCGGAAGGAGCAAAATACGCCCACAGGATTTTTCAGTGATCGGTGACAGTTTTGAATATTCTGCGCCAGCGAGAGGGTCGAGCGTCCGTAACACCAATGGTCCGGATCTTCAGAGATAGAGCACACTTGGAATCGACAACCCTCCTACCTCAGCGAAAAGTGCCATTGTTCACCCATCACTATTCTACCAACACTTGAAACTTCCCACGAAGGCATCCCCGGCTCTTTTCTCAGCAAGGCGACCCGTTTCCAGGCCAACGCCGTCTATATAGCGAAAGAGTATGCCGTAGGTCTCGTTTACATGTGGCGGACTGCGCTAACAACGCCTCAGGTCAACCTGGGCCATCATACACGACGCAAGGATGACTGCTTCTTACCAGATCCAACGCCTTGGCCGCAGAGAACTACTTGTTCCAGCATCTCCCTCACGAACAGCGACACCGTGCTAGGGCTGCAGTCGCCATGCCATATCCCTTCCAGGGCCTGGGCGGGACGAACCACCCAAAACAAATGCGCGCCACGACACGTAGCAACGTTCCTTCTGGAGTCAGACCCCCCTCGCCTGCCAAGTCAATCTGCTTTGACCTCTCTCTGTGCTGGAGCCACATCGAGGTCTGGAGTGAACTATGCCTCTGGGCCGTTTAGGTGCGGCGTGAAGCTCAACACTGTCGAGCCGTTGGAGATGCGTCACTAGGGACAAGATAGCAGGACTTTTCAGCTGCTTTCCCCCATTGCTGAATCCGGTTTTTGCGAACTGCTAGCTGTCGGTGACCAATCTCTGATGTCTACCTATCAACTTAGCTCGAGCCAAGGCAACGATTACCTTCCCGCTCGACCGCAACAGTGAAGCCGCGGCCAAACAGGGTTGAGCGTTTCGGTTCTAAGACGACATGGCGTCTAGTTACCGAGCATGAGGACGGACGAACCCACAACTCGCGTGGTCAAGAAAGAAGAACTATTCCAATCGGGGAAATTCAGAGGACACTCCACATTAATCGAGCGTTGTCTGAGAGTTGGGGGGGCCGAGTCAACGACCTCCGTTCGATTGAATGACCGCCGGTTCGACGTGCCTGCCTGGAAACGCGACGCACAGAGACTACTTCTTGAAGCAACCAGCACCGCCAAGAGTCTTGGGGTCCCTACCCACCTGCTTCTGAACTGCTCGTGCGCCGTCTGAACGGCAGCCAGATAGTGCCACGGCCCCGAGCATCCTGATTGTGACGCAAAGATGAGATCACGCATGATTACAGCAAGGTCGCATCTTTCGCTCGAATGCGCCTCGTAGTTAGTCATGGACGCGCCGGTCACTGATCGATTTTTTCGCGACACGCCTACGCCGCAAACCTACTCGCCTACTGGGCGAGCGTCCTTGGAGTGCCGCACCCAGTTGACACGTGTGTGCGAAGAAGACGTGAGATGGGCCCGTTTGCGGAATTGGGCAGGCGAAACCTCAAATACATGCCGGAGAAAAACACAACACGAAGTAGAGAGCGACGTTAAGTCCAAGCACAACAATCTCTTCATCACCCAGGGACCATTTTCTCGGGATACCGTGAGCATGCTCGTCATTGCATACCCACTTCAGTAGGCCGAATTTCAAGGATCGATTGCTCCACAACCGAGAGGGCAACAAATAACGAAATGGGTGGTGTTTGAAATACTTTGTCGGCGGCGTTTTTTAGACGCACCGGCCGGCGTACTGGGCGACACTCTACAGGACTTGACGTGGCGGCTACGAACAGCCTTGTTTGTGCAGTCATTTTCATCTCCTGATTGTTCCACAGCAGTAGGGTACGATGGAGTGTTGCGCAGGCAACCATACCGCTAGCAGCTCTTTTTTCACAAGGCCTGTCTCTTGTGATCGCCCCCCGACACTCTGTCTGCTGTATACTCTAGAGCCAGACATACATTGCCATACAAGAAACTGGTTGTTTCTGTTCGCAATGTAGCGTGCTCAGCCGTTGTTAGATTGAATCTCACCGTAGGTCGGAGCCAGCACCACTCGTCAGCAGCCTGCCCATGGGCTCAACGTCGGCGGCGGAAGCGGACCCGCCGCTGGTGACAGGGAACGGACCACTGCGTTGGCTCCTCCGTGCGTTTGGCAGCTCTGCTGGGAACGCACTGCCGATGCCGTGGCTTGTGCTGTCGCGCCTCCCTCCCGCAGGCGCGATCCGTCTGTCGTCATCCCGGGTAGTTGCAGGATGTGGCCTGAAGTCATGAAACGGCGTGCGGGAGGGAGGAGGGGGAGGAGGACAAGGGTAGGCAATGCACTCGACTTCTCGCAGTTCCCTGTCAGGCTGCCTTGTTTCCGTGCACAGCTTTCCTCGGGTGCCGTAAAAGCGCGTGTGATGGCACCGGGGTGCGATCGTTCTTCAATTCATTCCTAGCTTGGTTTTTTATCGCACCCCGGTGCCATAGCACCGATGGGTTCCATAACACCGATACCGGTGCGGAAATGCAATTGAATCACTTCGTTCTAGATTTCGAACGCACCCCCGGTGCGATGACAGCGATGGGTGCGATATGGGAAAAGTCACAGTGGCCATGATGCCATGATGCGGTGCTGAGTGCGCGCACCCGGTGCGATGACACCGATAGGTGCGATACTCAAGAAACGAACAGGCGTAGATGTTTTCGTCTTGCGTGCTGTAACTCTTGCATGAGAGCTTGCGTGGACGGTACCATGCAACTAGTCCGGAGTGGTGATAGTGATGAGGTCGAATCCGAGTTTGGGGTGGCGTGTGCCAAAGGGAACAGACGCTGTTGTTCCCTGCTGGGGAAGGTATGTATACGGCGGGGTATCGTTTTCTTCCAGCCTCTTTGCTAGTCGCAAGCCCCTCTTTTTGTTGACTGGTGCTTCCCTCTGTCTTTGTCGGCCTCAAGGGGCGTGGTACCGGTACGATTGTAGTACCGTTCACGAACTCCTTCTTGTTCGGTTGGTTGGAGGTGCGGGATGTGTACTGCTGTGTGCTTGGTTGAGTGAGTGAGGGCGTTCGATGTACAAATTCCCGTAGAAAGAAAAGAATAATAATTTCTACTGCGCACGACGGTACGGTATACATGCATGAAATGGCGCCCTAATTGATACCTGCCAACCGCGTTACATACCGTTCGACACGTGGCCTGGATGGTACCGGTACCTTGCGGAAGCACGCAAAATTTCGTCCTAGCAGGTTATATATGGTTGATATCGCACCGGGTGCGATAACACCGATACCGGTGCGGAAATACAATTAATTCATGACGTTCTTGATGTTTTTGCGCACCCCCGTGCCATAACACCGATGGGTGCGAAATCACCGATGGGTGCCATCACACGCACTTTAACGGTAGCCTATCGCCGGGCGAAGGTGTGCTGTAAAATAGGACGATTCAGGCCCCCAGCACAGCATCGCTTGACCTACTGTACAATGCCGCGAGCTTCCACAGCGTCCAGCATGCTTGCCTCGCAGGATACGCATCTTTTGCCTTCAGGCCTCCTCCTGACGATTCCAGGATGAGGTCGAGTTCAGACGTTGTAGACTCTGTGAGGCGGGGCACGTCACCCACATGTACTGGTATGTACCTAACGGAGGTTGCATTAGATACCACACCCCCTGGGCCGATTTCCAAAGCGCGATTAGTCCACGAGGAAGAGGATGCCAAAGTTCAAATGATGCGTTTTCGGAACGCTCTCGAACAGACATTCCAACGCTGCGCTGCCATTTCCAGCACCGTCACCGGTTTTCCTGCCGAGCAATCGATATTTGAAAATCGTTCCAGGGGGTGCGATATCTTGTGCAACCCACGGTACTACACTAAGACAGAAAGTTGCACTCCGGAGGAAAGACGCGGTCCTTACCTAAACATACTAATCTCCCGGGGTTCATGGCGTCGTTTGGTATCACTCATGCAATGCCCAGTGAGCCCCCAGGAAGAAAGGGGGCCTCGCCTACTTGTACATCGGTGCTACATCAAAGGTACGGCTGGCATGGATTTTCTTTTCACGCCCCATGAAACAGCGCGTGAAGTGTACATAGTTTACGTACGTTCTCACACCTTGTCCCGGAGCCAACCTGGGCAAGGCCTCCCAAACACGCCCCTTGCCACAACCTAAGCTGCTTTGAAGCTCTTTGTTCGCTAGATGGGTCGCCCGAGGTGCCGCTGATGCGTTTGCTGGCGCGTTCTCCCGCCCAGGGGCCCGACGTCAGGATCGCAACGGCCTGCGGACGTGAGAGAGACCAAGGGGCGGCATGTCCAGCAGCACTAATGGCACAAGGTTCCCAGGCGAGAGTATCCTTCCAACTCACTCTCTGCCGCCAGATAACGCACGCACACAGTAAGATTTGCATAGATGGTACGTCTGACACGCCCGATTTTTGAAAGTTCCTGCTGTCTGCGAGCCGTCTGTCTTGTGTGTATCATCACTGCAACATGTTTGGCGCACCCTTGCGCGTCCTTTCGTCCAAAGTGTGAAGCCTTACCAAGCCGAACTCGATGGTCTTCTTCTCTGCTGCGGAAAGCTGCCCCTGCTGTGCCGTCGCCATGCCCAGCCTGTCAATATGGCTTAGCGAGCCGAGAACAAAGAGCAGGACGGCGCAGGCGGCGGCAGCATGCCGTCGCTAACTCTCTCCCACAAATCCCTCCACGTGTTTGGAAAACCCTTCTGATAAAAACATTGAAAAGGGATCAAAACCTTGATTGTCGACATGTCTTATCGAGCCTGTTGCTCTCCGAGGGGAGATGTCACTGCTGAACGCACATGTAACGCAACACGTAGGTATCAGCAGAAGAATAAAGGTCCTGCAAAGGTCCTATATCAAGTTGAAGTCATCACAAACGTGGAGACTGAAAACACATCCATCCGCACGATAAGTTGGAACAGGGCGGGCACGCCGCCGGCCGCACCAGAAAATTGCTCTGGGCGGACGAGGGAGGTTCTGTGAGGGATGGATTTTCGAAAAATGATACGAAGCAACGTTTTCGTCCAGAGGAGGGGAGGATACCGCAACTGATTTCTCGCACCCAAGGCCACCGATCAAAGCCAGACCGGTCAGGGCGTGCTCTCTGTTCCTTGCTCTCTGCCGGAGTAGATTTGCTCCGCAGCGCGTTCTCGATCGACGTAGAGAATAATGCGCGTGGTGCCCGTTGCTTTTTCGAAATGTGATTTTGTTCTGGTTTGCTTTTCACTTGAGAATAGAGTCATGTGTTGTTGAGGGCCTGGAAACAATTTTCAACAGACAGCTGGTGTACACGCAGACGACGATTTCGAATGATTGGATCAACGAGCTGCTGAGCAACTCCACTCCGGCAGAGAGCAAGAAACAGAGAGCACGCCCTGACCGGTCTGGCTTCGATCGGTGGCCTTGGGAGCGAGAAATCAGTTGCGGTGTCCTCCCCTCTCTGACAAAAAGCGGCTCTTTTTGCTGTCTCGTGGCGGTTTGGCCTGTGTCGGCGTCGCCCATGTCTGATAGCTCTAGCATTTTTGTGACCACGGACCGAGGCTTTGCACGATTTTGGGATTAGCAATTGACACGAGTTAAATGTGAAGGAAACAACAACAACAACAACAATGCTTGGTGCGATGCGATGTGTTCTTTTTACGCGCGCGTGCCTAGCGATCATCAACAGCCGGCGTGCAGAATAATAGCAAGTCCTTCGGCGTAGGGTTGCTGGGAGTCCTTGATGGGAGCGAACGTCAAGAACTCAGGTCGCACTCGACGATTATGTCGTCTGGGTTGATCTACACCCACCCCCTAAGAATCTGCCTCAGGAATCCGGCTCACTGACTGTAAGAACGGCCGAAACTTTTTTCCAGCCGAATTGCTGCCCATCCATCCTGAAAAGTGCGGTTTTTTGGGAAAGGATTACAAGTGTATGTGGAGAACACCTTCATAAAAGTTGCAAGCCGTCGGGCTATGCCCGCGAAAGTTCGGATCTCTTCGTCGACGCCATTGTGGAAAAGAGGGTTTCGTCCTCGACAGACGTTGGGGAGTTTCAACTTTTTTTATGAAGGTGTTCTCCACATTACCCAATGTACATTACCCAATGTGGATAACTCCTTCATAAAAGTTGAAACTCCCCAACGTCTGTCGAGGACGAAACCCTCTTTTCCACATTGGCTCTCGACTTGAAGAGATTTTCTTTTCTCGCGCTAGAACACGTTGTACACGGGATCGTTGAAAAACGGTGTCGGGTAACAACGAGAGCAAGAAAAAGAAGAAGGCGAAACCGCAGCAGCAGCTGCAGCTGCAGCAGCAGCAGCAGCAGAAGCAGCAGCAGCCGCAGCAACAGCCGCAGCGGAAATCGCCTAAACCGCCTAACCCCAAATCCGCGGGAGCCGGACACGGCCAACCCAAAGCGGGGCAGGAAAAGGAGGACTCTGACTCATCGGGAGGAGGTAGCGCTCCTAAAACCGATAGCGGAGAAGGTAAGGGATCGGAATCCTACTCAAAGGCAGCCCAAAGCGCTCTTAAGAGCACTGGCAGCGAGGACCCGCCGTCCCAAAACCGCTACGAAGCCCTGGCTGACGCCCACGAACCTGAAGAGGGTGAGGTGGAAACCACGGCAGAGAGTGTGGAGGACCAACCTTCTGGTCTCGCGACAGATTTGCTCGAAAATCTGGACCAAGAGGGCGCGGCTTCGGCCTTGGCTCCCGGGAGCGCGATGGAGAAGGTAGTAGTGCAAGCGCTGACGAAGGCGGTGGAATCCGGAGATACTCCACCGGCCTGGGTCCTACAGCTGGCGCTCGGCACCAAGACTTACACGGACGACGTCAGGGTTACCAAGGTGATGCCTCGTAGCCTTGCAGCGGACCTTGCCGCTGAAAAATTCCCGGCAACCCCGCAAGTTAATGCACCGGCACCACCGCAAGTTAACCCACCTGTCCTCCCGGCTCAATCGCCGCAACCCACCCACACTAACTACCCAAGCGTTCCCCAGACTAATTCCGTAAACCCTGTAGCTAAAAATACGGTATACGAAGACTCGGAAAGTTTCAAACGATTCACGCTGAAGAACGCCGACCTCCCTGCCGACCTCAAGCTCGAGGGTCTCCCCTCAGAAGATGTGCCAGAGAAAATGACTCTTTACAAAGCACACATCCGCTTGCTGTCGCCAGACGAAATGTGTCAGAAAACACGATCAACCACCGTGCTGTCAAACACCTAGCGCTCTTCGTAAACGGTGCTGCGGCCAAAAGCCTCAGCCTCATGCTCAGCAATGCGCTAGAGTGGAGGCCGGAAGCAAAGCTAGCTGCGCTTCGAAGCCAGGGTGTGCATATCACACCGAGATCATTTACCACGTGGGATTAATGGGTCACTGCTTTCACCACCCTGTTTGCACCGGGCGCCCGGGAATCTGCCCTCGAGGGTAGAGCGGAATCGGCCTGCCCTCAAAACGCCTCCGGAACACCCTCAAAACGCCTCCGGAACCAATCCTTACAGACCCTTTTTGAATCCGAACTCCGAACACACACACAGCAACTGTCCCACACACAACGGCACAGCCTGACACGCAGCAGCAGACCAAAGGCGCGTACCGCGACGCCTGATAGACCCTCAGTAGACCACCACCCTACGCAATCATATCGGCAAATGATGGACTATTTCCCCAGTAGCCCACTGGCGCGGTGGATGTGGTGGGAGTGGGAGGGGCGCGAAAGGCATTGTTTAATTAATTGATTAACAACGGAGACCTGTCCACCTTTCCGCATTTTCTTCTTCTGAGGAATGGTCCGGTGGATATTGGAAGAGCGAATCTTGGGAGAGTGATCGTTGGAGGCATCATATTTTTTAGTGAGGAAGTATAGAAGGAAGGTCGCGTGGGCAAGTGCCGTGGGTGCCGTGCTCGAAGGGTGCAAATCGCTATTGGCACTCCGGTCGCGAAAGAGGGGCTGTCGTGGTTGTCTGGCTACGCTGCAGCATGCCGCGGCTTGTTGTGCGAAAGACTGCCCGTGTAGCTTTCAGAGCGTGTAGCTTTCAGAGTAAAAATTGGTGTGTTGTCATTGGTTCGGTTGGGTCGGGTCTTCGGCAGTTTGTGCGAAGCGTGACAACGCTAGCCTTTAAATGACAGATGTCGAGCAAATGGTGTACCACGTCTTTAGTTGTGACTCTAAAGTAAAAAAGACTCTATTGTACAAGTAGGTGTTTTTCTACTTCAAATTAACCCATAATACATCACTGTATGGAACACCGTTTTGAGCCCACAGCGTTTTGAGCCCACAGAGTTCCGGCTCTAAAGTGGGGAGGTTCCATCTTTGATTCCATGTTTTCCTTTCAACAAAGGAAATTCATCCTGTTGAAAAAAAAGGGAAGGTAGCAAAACAAGGCGGCATCAAAGACATTCGTCATTCGCTGCCACTTTTGCTGTCCACCAAGCTGCAAAAAGACCACCAAGCTGCAAAAAGACCGGCACGAAACATTTGCATTACGCTTTCACGGACATGAGCACAAGCCAAAACGCTACAGAATGCAACGCAGTGCGGCGACTAACCAAAGACTACTCCCTCAACTTCGCTCTATCCCTGCCTTCCCTCGCGGACGTGCCGCCACTGCTACCGGGTTCTCAAGTTTCGAAAGAATGCCCGTTTGCACCCGCCAACAGAATCTCGCTACTTGCCAGAGACGTCATGACCCTCCAAGCAAAAAAAGCTGAGGAATCCGTTGACGAGTAAGCTCTCAGGGTGTCGCAATCATACTCACGACTCCTGGCGGAAGCCGAACGCACAGCTCCGCTGAACACAAACGCGCATGAACACGCTTTTGATCAGGCGCTCATTGCATCGTTTGAGAACGGGTTGAAACCTGAAATCCGGGTGGAGATGACCAGGGAGGATGCATCGCAGTCGTTTATGGCATCGAAAGCCCGTGCACGCAAACACGAAGCGAACAAACTGCGCTCTGCTTCCCCCTCATCTTCCACGTCGGTGTCCTCGATGTACCATATCTCCCACGAACCGCAGCTCGAAAACGCCACAGTGCGCCTGGAAAGGCGTCTCGACGACCTTGAGGAGACCACCAAGCACATCTCAAGTGTGCACCGCGGTCGCGACTCAGGCAGGGGCGGAGGGGGCGACAAACCCCCCCGTTCCCAGTCGAAGGGCGCGGGCTTGAACTCCAGCAAACCGAAAGTGGTGTCGTTTAAGTCGGGCAGTTAAGTCTGACCCCGCAGACGGGCGTAGAAGGGCGAAAGAAGTGGACGAACCGTGCGATTTTATCGCTGGCAGATTTAACAAAAGCCGCTTCACGCACACTCGGGCTGATTGCAAGACAGGAGGATCACCGGAACACGAAACGTAAGGACAAACGCGCTAAACGTCAGATGGACCAAGAGTCTGCCGAGGGTCAAGTTCAAAGTGCGGAGAACATGCGTGTGCACCGGAAGAGTAAACGAAGACGAAAGGCGAACAGGAAATACGTGTCACACGTATCTGGTCGACGGAAGGAAAAGCATCCATAAAAGGAGCTATCCAGCATTTGTTTGGGTCAAATGCTGGCGAGGAAGTCAAGTTGTAAAACAGCACGTTAAGCTGTTATATGTTGACGTCGCCGCCTTAAAATCGTCAACCCAAGTAGTCGGTTGCTCGTTAAACAAACCGATACTGCCACCGAATACTCGTGGTTATCAACACGAGATTTCGAAAAATAGTAAGTGTGTTTTGGTGTAGGTATGAGTCTTTTCCACGTGTATACTCGTACTGACATTTACCACGTGCTTTCTCAACACGCAGTGTAAAGAGGTGGGGATACACTACGGGAGAGCTGACGTCGTACGTCAGGTTAGATCAAATCTATGTAACCCATAAATTCCCTTCTCATTTAAAATGAGCGTCTAAAGAGGACTTTCGGCGAAAAAAGAGGGGGGCTGTGTGGATACCTAGATATGGATCTTCCCTGACAAAGTACGTACGCACGTACAGACCTAAAGAGCCTCGGATTTGTGTGTGTCCACGATAAAGCCGAGCCAACTCGGTTGAGCTTGGCTATCCTCGCCACATATCAAGGAAGAAAATAGAAGCAACGGCCAGTGGTGTGGTATTCCCACTACTGTTACACTTGAGGCCCCCTAACTCGCTTGAGAAGGGGTGTCTACATCGGCGTCGACGAAGAGATGTCAGGTGTCTGCTTTTGGTTGCAAAAGGCATGGGTTCAAAACTCGCTACTCATCTACTTTTCTTCCGGAGTACGGAAAAAAGGAAAAACTGTGGGTAGGCCAAGAAACGATGCACTGCTGTCTATCGAACTCGAGACTTCTGGCAATGCGAGGCGGAAGTGGTTCACCCGCACACACGCACAGCTCGTTGGAAAAAAGGTTATTCTACTCGCCGCCAGCCGGTCGGGTTTCGGTTACCCCAAGAAGAATTCTCTTGCCTAGCAAACAAGAAGCCTCGAAAAAGGGGGGGGTAATGTGGATAACACCTTCGTAAAAATTGAAACTCCCCAACGTCTGTCGAGGACGAAACCCTCCTTTCCACATGTATGTATAAGAAACCGCCTAAGTTTTTTTTAGCGATTTTTATGTATTATTTTTTGGAAAACGGGGGCACGAATATCTCGGAGTTGTGTTGGATAGCCCAGGCTGTTCGAGAAAACATAAATATATTCGAGGGAGAGGGTTGATTTTCGTTCAAGAATGACAATCGTTGTGCCCCGTGTTCCAAAAAATAGAACAGAAATCGACGAAGAAACTTCAGCTCATCAGCTATCAAACGCAATTTGTTGTACGAAAATCCTATAGCCGGGGCAAAAAATTATGATTTATTTTAAATATCCCTCAAATACCCCGCCCCTCCGCCCAGAGCAATTGTTTTGGTGGTGCGCGACGGGACCCGGTCTGTTGAAAGTGGTCATCGCGCGGATGCGTTTGTAGTGTCCACGTTATTTTTTTTCTGTCTCATCTACCGCCGCAGTACTTGGCGCCGCCTGTGTACAACCTTACCTGTCGATAAACGGGTGGGTTCGGTTGACCGGCGACCGACCACAAACGATACAAAGACGTCGGCTGAAGCGACGAAAGACGAAAGGTAAACGCCAGGAATGATCTACCCGACCGAGTAGACGGTCTCCCCGAATTATCGGAGCTAGCTGCGATCTATCTGCACAAACGAAATCATACGCTGAGTACTATTTCCAATTCCATATTTTCAAACTCATTGACCCCCCCCGCGCGCTCCGTGTGGACAGCCTGCAGCGAACGCAAGAACAAGCGAAACTAATGTACCCTATCGGTAGGGGCGCCTTTAGCAATCATGGGGGGGGGGGGGGGAGAGAGGGGGCGCCTAGGAACAACTGCAACTGGGAGGAACTTGAACTTTACATGTCGGCACCAAGACACGCGAACATGTTTTTTATCACCAAGAAACAGAAAACGAAGCTTCAATATCATAAGCAGCCATCCATGGTAAATTACCATCACCTATCGCTGCCCTCGGCCGCACCACGCCGTGGAAGATGTCAGCGGTTGGTCGCCCTGGGAAAAACAAGCGATTAAATGCGACCTCCATGAATGCCTGTTTTCACCTGTCGTTCTAGGGGACAAATGACGTTGTCATTTCTTCAACGCCGGCGGTCAAACTCTGCTTGGTCTTTTCCACCTGGATATGTGCATATCTATACCGTTGGGTCAGGTCGTGACAAACCAAAAAACCACCGTTGTGTCAGGTAAGGAATCTCTTCCCTGCCTCCAAAGAGCAGCGGGGTACCGGATACAGACCAAACGTGAACAGAGCAACAACAACAACAACACACACACACTAACAACGACAAATAATTCCACCAACATTCCTAAAGGCTCTATTTACTCTTGTCTGTCACTTTTCACTTTCTCGAGGAGAATATTGTACAACAGAACCACCCAGTGGTCAATAGGCCCAGGCAAGCAGTAGTGCAGGCCATCTGTTGCTGAGGCGTGGGAGTCTGCTCGCAGTATTGTCGGAGAGTAGGCATCCAGCAGTGTCCAGCCGCCATTCGTGGCCTCGAAAGCTTCCTCCAGTAGCTTTGGTTTCAAAATAGAGACAGTATATGCAAGAAGAGAGTTTGCACACGCAAACATTTAGAGCACGATCTACACTGCTGTGAAAGTAATAAGAGGTTTGAGCCTGTTGCCCGCAGGGGAGGGTGAGGTGCCATGTTGTTCGCACCCTCGAAAGGCTGGTTTGTTCAACGTTCTCGGCTGCAAAATCAGCAAAACCGACTATAATAATACTGCTGCCGTGTAGTCTACTCCATTGATATGAATATCACACAAGAGGTGAGGACGAGCCTATCGCAGCGTACACGCGGCGCGGTTTCTCGGGCTCCTTCCCGCAACAAGCAAGATCGACTCTGAGGCCTCTCCCCGACCCTTGCTAATCTTCACACGCGACGACGGCGCCATAAAGAACAAAGAACGAGAGCCTTACCTTGTTTCTATCCCCAAACGTGGTCCACTTGTACCTCGGCGGTCCTTTCGCGACGAGGTCGAGGGCCGTGTCTAAATCAACAGGTCCGCCGAACATCCTGCCACGCAAAGCGGCACGTAAAAGAAAAAAAAGTTGTCGAAACTCAAGCTTTTCGGGCAAGAGAACACCTCCTCCTCCTCCTCCTCCTCCTCCTCCTCCTCCTCCTCGGCAGCAGAGCAGAGCAGGGTATGTAGATACGATTTGAGGTTTGAGGTGGGGGAAGAAGCGATTTGCCGCAACAATAGAAAGCTAACGTGGATAACCACCTTGGCTGCCGAAAATGAATTGGATGAGCCGCGTGCGGTAGCAATGCTCTGCTCGGGCTCGGCAGAACTACTTGCTTCGTTTTATGGAGCGGAGCGGAAAGGTATAAAGCCAATACAAGAATACGACTCGTGCACACCATGTCGTCGGCTGTGAACACTGCTGGAGAGCTACAACGACTGATGGCACCTTACAAGGCAACGCCGAGTACGCGGGGGTGCAGCGGCGAAGACACGTTTCTGGAGTGTGTTTTCAGCCGGACACCCGACGACGAATGACGGCACTAATTGAATAGTCTATTCGTGTCGTCCCAAAAATGATCAACCGCCGTGCAGGTCCGCACCTGTTGAGTTATCACCGCGCGATGCACATATCGACGCTCGATGCGGGACGAGCTAAACACAAGCGAGTGTGTGCAGAAAAACTTTCAGGCGACCTGTCCCGCGTGCAAGACCTCGAAAAATAGATATCTACTCGCAGGTTCGCTTGCCCCCCAAAGCCATCACGTCAAGTTGCTTCCAGCCGCCGTGGTAGACTATAGCCGACATCGCCTTCTTGGAACGTTTCCCACCTATCGAAGCTCTCGCCGTGACCCGGGACGGTGTTCCTGACCACCAAGATGGCGTTATCCCCGTGTAACCGTCTCATCGACGTGGTCAGGCTCTCACTAGCGTTCTTCATCATCGACCCGTACGCCTCCAACCCCCCCGATCGAAGGTGTGCCCCAGAGTTCACGACGAGAGTGTCGAACTGGGTCAAGGTAGCATCATCTGGGAGAAAATATGAAAGCAAGTTGACATCACATCGTTACTCGGCGCTGGTTGACGTCGCATTGTCACGATAATAGGATCGATTTGTCGAAGTGGTTCAGGGCAGAAATCACGCGCGAGTGCAAAATACCTTTGACGCCACTACATTGCTCAGCACCGTTGTGTTCCCATTTTCGCTCGAAACGCATGCATACCACACCTGAAACAGAGAGCCAGGCACTACGTACGAAGAATGGAGAAGTCTCTGCTCTCGACATCGAAAACATGCAGCCTCATTTCACTCCATCAGCAAAACGGATTGGTAAGAATCATTTTTGGCCTACAGTACGTCTACAACGCTGTCCCGGACAGACTAGAAGATTGTCGGGACAATTTTGTTTCGGCCGACTCTGCAGACAGACCCGGGAATGAAACGTACCATGGTGTAAAACACGGAGATTACAACGTCTGGCAAAACAATGCGATTCGTGTTCGTTCGGTGACTATTCTCGGTTTTGGCCAGGGATTGATGGACAGACTGGAATTCCTCCAAAATTGTTTGATTCTGCCACGCGGGAGCGCCAAGAGTGTCCTTGTGGCACCCGTGAATGCGCGCGAAAGCAACGCACGTTGGGGGTTCCCAACCGCACGAATGCTCAACGCATACCGTTGTGGCTCCGATATAAGAGGCAAAGCCCGTCGAGACGTTCTCATCTCGGGGTCCCCTCTTACGCCGGAATAAGGCAGTACCCAACTATACTAGTCGACCCACTATAAGTGGGTCGACTTCAAGTGGGTCGACTTCATGACAACCCATTTCGACCTTCTCATATCGGAGCACCTCTCATTGGGTACTTGTCTTTTACATCGGAGCCACGACTGACGGTACATGCCTGCAAAAACCATGCAGTGCGACATGCTGGCGTCGGGGTCCTCGCAATGCACCGTGTCGAAGCCGTCCGTTCGCGTGTCGAGGAAGTCGTTGCGGTACCACGACAGCGTCAGCTCTCCGTCGCAGGCTGTGTAGGTGTCCATGGTCAGGGGCACGTGCTTGACGAGCGTCGCGCGCAGAACCGCCGCCAGAGTATCGATCATCTCACCCGTCAGGCTGTCCCCTAGGCGGGGGGGGGGGGGGGGGGGGGGGGGGGGGGGGGG